TTTAAATTTATTGGTCTGTCAACTCTTTAATATGGACCTGCATGTAATTTACTACTAACTATCAATGAAAAGCTGTCAAATTATACAGCTGTGTCCTAGATATATCGATACAATTAAACTGGCGCAACCAATGAAGATAATGCATTTAAATTTGTAGCTTAAGATCAATGAGATAGAGATATTATTCAACGACTCAGTGCTTTAATGGATGAAATAAGAGACTTGGCAATTGTTAATGTATGGCGAGTTGATATCGTAGGATTAATCAATCAAAGCAAGTGTATACAGGAAGTTGCCAGACCAATGACAAGTACAATTGGACCAACAACAGCATTCACTTTTAATGTGAAACAGTTGCATTGAAAAGTAACCGACATTGCAAATGTCACGAATTCCACCTTTCTAGATACGATCGTTTTATGTATGATAATTAAATTTGCAACCTCTAAACACAACGAAACATTGTAATCATTTTGACAGTTCATTAGTTTCATTGACAGTTATCTTGAGTTATTACTGATAGTGGATTTAAATACCAATCTAAAATTATAAGTGAATTGAATGTGTAATGCATGATTGTCAATTTTGATAAGTATTAAAAAAGAATAACAAAGTTCATAATTAAATTTTTTGTTGTTAGTGATTTCCTAAAATTCTCTCATTTAATTTGATTCGATTGAGGTTGTTTATTGGTGGGGGGAATCATATTCATTGTAAACCTTGCTTTTTAAAGTACATTATGTGAAATGTACCCTTATTACGAAAGGAGCACTCTCTGATAACATTACAGAAGCCAGCCGCAGAATCTGATTGGTCAAATCAAATTACTCGACGGCACTCGGCAAACGTATCAGTCGTATTATCGACCCGCTATCCAATTACCCACCGATCCAATAATCGATCTACCAACAAAGAACGACGCACTGACTTCTTTTACCTGTCACTCAAACAGACGATTGTCTCGATCCTGACTCTGTTGAGGACAACTTTGATGCTGTTGATAATAAAGTTGATATCGAGTCAGTAATCTTTAACGAACAAGAAATAAAAGCTAAATTCGAAATGAGTAAAGCTGCCGCAACCGCATTCATCGATTTGCTGGAAAGCAATGACGGGCGAGGAGATTGATTGACGGCAGATCGAGATAATGGAAGCTTTGTGGCCCGATCGGCTACTGCAAGATAGGGTTAAAATTATAACATGTATGGAAAGCGATGCGGTACGTTCGAAATGTTTGGTGCCATTGATGTTTAATGTTTTACGGTATTTAATTATTCTTAATTCCAGATTTAATAAGTGATAATGGGTACGAGTAACACTAAAATCGAAAAAAATAATTTACTCCTTGTTCTTAAAAGCTATTTTGAAAAACATTATTTTACACACTAGAAAACACTCGTCGACATAGTTTTGAGCCCATAAACGTCCTCTACTGGACAAAAAGGCCAACCAACCGATTTTGAAAACAAGACATCTGTTTGTTTTGTTACATTTATTTTTTGATAATAGCACAACTTATATAATTTAATAAGACCTCATGTCTAAAATAAGGAGTTATATTAAAACAGTTTATGAAATATTGATTCATAACGGAGAAAATTATATAAACATGTCTGGATATAACTTCGTATTTATTAGTGTATATTTATGGGACTACCTAAATTTACACTTTTTATGTATTACATAGAAAATTGTTAATTTAAAGCTTTTATCACAATAGAACAACCACTTTAATGGCGGTCTGTTTCATTTTATGCAGCAAAACTGATTGTAGAAATTCTTGCAGTACAGCTAGCAAAAAATGGTATATGTTTAGACTAAATTTTAGAATAATATCATAGATGCTGTTAATGCTTATTATTTCTTCACATACTGAAGTTATTGTAGAGTGTATTTTATTTAGGGAGTTTAACTGTTTTAATATGTTAATTATATTATTAATGTAAATAAAAAAGCGCGTGCTTGCATGCTTCAAACGTCAATTTATTTGGTAATTGCATTCGCCCGGATTGTGAAAGGTGCGGATTCAAATCCTGTGTGAAACCTAGACCGAGTGGACTATATTTCACTATTATTTTTCTTCAACATCAGCCTATTAATGTCCCCACTGCTGAGGCACAGATGGATGGAATAGGGACATTGGTCCATAACCAACCATGCCGGCCCAGTGCGGATTGGCATTTGCTAACGACAGCAGATGTAGCAGGGACCAACACGTTCAACGTGCAATCCAAAGCACGGAGGAACTCGATAGAAGATTTTTGGTCACCTATCCAATGACCGATCACTGCGAAAGTTACTTAACTTCAACGATCGCAGCTGAATGCGCTAACCACCCGCGCCATCGAGCACCTCATTTTTTTCTTTAGAACAGTTGATACTTAAAGATATGGAAACTTATAATTGCTATTATTTCAAAATGAAATGAGAATATACTTTATTCAAGCTGACTTATTAAAAGCTCTTTCGATTTGGTCATTTTTTTTCCTAACCATCTCTTTAGGGCATCTTTATGATGCCAAGAAACTTAAATAAGTTCTTTTGAAATAAATACGTATTTTGTTATATGTTATAAGTAATGTGATAAGTAAATAAGAATAAAACTACATCTTTTTATTTAAAACAATCAAGAAAAAAGAAATGTTGAATACATTAAGTACATATTTACTATATTTAATCTTCATATACTCATACTTCAATTATTTAACAACCTTATTTTTTTAATAAACCTAAATGTATAAATTTTAATGCAAGCATGCAGAGAAAAAAGGCAATGCCCCGAATTTCAATGATGCACATAGCATATTTAATGTATAATGGCTCGAAATAATTGTGTCTGCTGACGGTATTTGTCTATCAGATCATCTGGCGATTGCTAGTTACTAAATGATATACTTTTGACAGGCAACAGATATTTCAGCGCAGATAATGTTGACTGCGTCGGCGGCGTGATCTAAGCCGGCAGTACTCCCTGAGATAACAACGATAATGTAACGTTAATGAAAGTAGCACTTATTTGGACGGCTGGAGATTCGGATGATAAAACTCTAATGCAGTAGCCGATACAGAAGTTGATTTGTGTCTTGAGAAATATGTAGTTTTGTGGGAAGTTTCCTAACGTGACTTACTTTAAGATTGAAACTGTTATAAATAAATTAAAATATCTTTGTGTTTTATTTGTTTAATTTTTTTCGTTCAATATTGTTTACTTAAAACAACATAAGTATTTGAAAATTGTTAATAATAATTTCATAGTTGCATTTTTACAGCAATGATTTATACAATTGCAACTAGAACACTCACTCATTTTAGATTTTGAATTATTAGATATTGCTCCAAATTGAACTTTCGTGTCATCAATGTCAAATCAAGCATTTGATATATCATTGATGTTTTTCAGGTTTTGAATGAAGCTGGGGCTTTTCACAAGATAGGCAGTTTGAATCACTTTAAAATTTGAAACCGGTGGTACCACATATAATATCAAAGTAAACAACACGAGATGGGTATAGAACTAATTTATTTCGATTATTCTGCTGTGATAGCTGTCTGATTCACATAAGAACCAATATCGCAGTCGAGTTGAGATATCTCGAGTGCTAAATGGATGTTCAGCGCAGTAAAATCAGCAAGCAGTACATAAAATTTTGTCGATAACTTTTAAATTTTGTTGAAAAACGTTTGTGTGCTGTACAAAACTACAGAGTGATACGGTTTATACTAATACTAGTAGGTGCCAGTGACTTCGTCTCCTTGGAAAATTGGTTTCCCATCACTTCCACCTCATTTTTCACCCCCTCAAAAGATGATTTCTGAGATAAAAAGTACTTGTGCCCTTTCCCGGGACTCAAACTACCTCTATACCAAAATTCATCTAAAGCGGTTCAGTGGTTCAACCGTGAATAGGTAACAGACAGACAGACACATTTTCGCATTGATAATATAAGTATGGATATTCATTATATTAGAAATGTATTACAAGCTCAACTTAAAACGTATTCCTTAGCGTTAGTGTTAAATTGGTATTGAGTGACGATAGAAAAAATAATATTTCCCGTTCACAGTTTGACTATGAAGGATGTTTGCAACGATTCAAAGTGATGTGTGTTTCCTGCGCTTTGATGCTAACAAGTGCCTCTTTGTACGGGCCGCTACCCGCTATTTTGAGTCGTAGATTATTAAGAAATATTGCCTCTCTAAATTTGCAATCAAACAAGGTCAGCTTATATATAAAAACTACATCGTTTTGTGTTAAACTTTTACCCCCTTATAATATAACTACTGGCCCGCCCTCACCTTCGCTTCGGGGTAGAATTGATCAAAATCCTTTCTTAGCGGATGCTTACGTCATAACATCTACCTGCATGCCAAATTTCAGCCCGATCCGTCCAGTGGTTTGGGCTGTGCGTTGATAGATCTCTATGTCAGTCAGTCATCTTTGAGTTTTATATATATAGATAATTAACGAGGAAAAATCTTGGACTTGTTGCGCCGCGTTTTGTTCGTATCACTCCAATGTTATTTGTAATTCAACGAACATAGACAAATCATTGAGTAATTAATCCAGGCCTATTCTTCGATTATTAATAAGGGGAGTTATCGTTTTATTCGACAACGTGGAATAAAGTTGAACCTGATGAGGTCTCTGTCTTCTTTGAAGCAAACGGGTGATCCCGTGAGCATCCATTTTAGACTTTAACAAGGTTCAGCTTTAGTGAACGTTTTATAAAATGTTGTTTAAATAATAGATGAGAAAGTTGTGATTCTTTGATACCATTCAACATTTAAGCTATAAAAACACACTGTCAAAGAGAAAAAAAACTGCAGCAGCTAGTTAATGATAAATTAGTGTAATAACAACACATATTAAAAATAAACACAAAGGGTGACCTAAAAATAAAGGGTAACACGAACGACCCATTATGATAGAATGATAACAAGTGTCCACTTCAATGAAATACTATTTAAGGCTATTATTAATGAAACACCGCTAATTTTAGTGTCTCCCAGTAGCATTGGTAAGTAGTTCACTAGTTCAATTAACAAAATGGACGGAATTAACCAAATTAATTAGTTGGGAATCTATATAACGGGTGTCGGAAAGAAATTGGCCTCATTTGCGAACTAAACACCGGAGGATTTTGTGTCAAAATGGAGTAAGTTTTTATTTTATTTTAATAGACAATTACTACCTGGCGTCCTTCGAGTTAAGGGTAGTATGTTCACCAGCTTTCAAGGAGTCGCCTATTCTTGCGGTCTTTGATTCGAATCCCGTTTATATATAGGTAGAAATTAATTTCTACAAATATATACTTATCCGTGTATCATTATATGTATTTGTATCTGTTACCCTAGTTTTCCATAACGCAAGCCTTACAGTGCCTTGTTTGGGCGTAAACTAATTACTGTGAGTGTTGTACATATTTATTTATTTACATGTGAATAAGTACGTTTAGTGAAGATGTGACACGCCTCATTTCACGTTTATTACTTTACTGAGAAGATGATTTATATATTGTTGATGATCCTTGTTGTGTTATTTCCATAACCATCATATTTTTCTTGATTTCTATGGAAGAAAGGATGGTATTAATATCTATTTGTCAGATCCTGTATTTGCATACAGGTATTCGACAGTCTACATCACTTAGGCATTTAATATTCACATTTTAAAAGCTTTTTTTTGTACTGTAAATGTGTCATTTACGTTCTTGAGTGGGTTACTTTTTTGGTTTTATTACATATATATACATCCTCCTTTGCAACTGATTTTAACAACATGACCATATGTGCTGAAATAGATCATAAAGTACTTTATCTTTTCTTACAGAAAGGAACCTGAAATTCCCGTTTATGGCGAAGTTTGTAAAAGAAAACTGAAAAGGAAACGTCAAAGAATGCTTTTGACGGAGCTTTTTTTCGACTTTTCTAAAAATACGACGTTACACGGTTTGAGATACGTAACTGACAGTGGCCTTGAAATTATCGAAAAGTAAGTACCATTACAGATCATCATCAACATCATATCAGCCCAAAAATTCCCACTACTGGACATAGACCTCCCCCAAAGGAAGGTCCTGCGCTGCCCGCATTACAGATCTTCATGTAATATTGAGAGGTTAGTTATTATACCACTTACTATACTTCCAATTTGGCTAGCACGTGGGGAAAAGTGGCCGTGTCGAAATCTTTGGGCCAAATCTAGGAAAATGGTCAGACTTTGCTAGCATGTGGAGGACAGAGACCGTGTCCATAACCTTTGGCCAATTCTAGGAAAATGGTCAGACACTTCCTCCTAGAATCAATGTTGCACATCATGCAATGAAAGTTTGGTAAGTGACATACTTCTGAAGATAGAGGAAGGCAACCTAACCTAACAGAAAACATCTGGTGGAAATTTAAATGATGAGTGTTTGTTTATAATATGCAAACCTTTAGCTGCACGTCATACTTGAAGGTTTTTAATATTACATTGTGTTTCAATTATTTTGCTGCACATTATAACTTCAATGAAACAATTTTCAGAATCTTCTGGACACTTACCTTCTTCGTGAGTGTCGCGTTGTCATTCTATTTTATCTTCAACGTATGGCACAAATGGAAGACGAGCCCTGTGATAGTCAGTTTCAGTGAAAAACACATTTCAGTAGAAGCGGTGAGTTACAGCACATAATTTGTAGCAAATTGATGAATATTGGCACTCTAAATCATAGATCACCAAACCACACGTATAATCAGTCCACAAGAGTGTTAGTGTTTATTTATTTATTATACCATGTTTAATAATAAATTACATATATATATACATATCTAATCCACTTAATGGATTGTTAATATGTAGCATCTGCCGTAGCAGAAGTTGCAGATATAGATGTTGATTTTAATTTTACTTAGGTACTATATAAATGAAATAAAATTAAATCTTACAATTTGCTCAATCTTATATGCTAACTAGGTTATACATATTGCTGAAGTTCATCCTGAATTACTGTTTAAAATATATTATGATATTCTGAGTTTGTTTCAGTTGTTTCTGCAAATTTTCAGGTACCATTTCCATCAGTGACTATTTGTCCTCAAATGAAGTCTATGTCCCATAAGAAACACAATAACCAAAGTGAATCCAATGATGATGATAATCAACAATAGTAAGGACTATCATTGTATTACATTTTAGTTAAAAATTGCAGTGATTCGACTTCTCGAACTATAAAACCTGCCTTGGCAAGTATCATTCAAATAAGAAATGGTTGCGACCAAATAACATTTATTTATAGCGTTATGCAATCCTCACAAGGTAAATGGCTATGGAGTTTAGTTTAGCCAAACTATTGCTAATAAACAAATCCTTCTTCCCAGTCGTGCACTCTTGACAGAGTGGTCGTGGTCATGTCTCGGTCGATTCTTGTGCCACTGATGCAATCGCGATGCGTCGCCATACAGCTCGATGCTTTGCAGAGCGAGAACAATTATTTACGCTAGAGTGCGTCGTCGATTTAATAAGGCCTGTCCACCTTGTTGGAGAGCACCCCCGAGACCTTTTGCCCTCAACTTTCCCTTGCACCACCAATCGTTCCATGGAAACAAATCCTATATACTGTTTATTGTTTTTGGATAATACAAATTCCTTGGAAACGTAATGAGCAAGAGTTCTCTCACAGGCAGGCTACAATCACATTTTAAATTATTTAATATTTATTAATAGTACTTGCTTCTTAACTACTTTTTCTATTTTAGTGAAAGGAAATTGCCTGCAATCTATAAAGTTGCAATCTTATACCATTTCTAATTTTCAGTCCAAATTCTACCTATTATGATGAAGATGTTCGTGAAGCTTTGTCTCTAATGTGTGATTCAGTAATTAGTCCATTTGCGAAAATCTTTAGTCATATAGATGCATCAGTTGTTAACCAGTTGTATAATGTAAGTATCTAAAGATATTGCATAAAAAATATTTATATTTTGGGATATGAAAGTAAAATAAAGATATTTTGCAGTTATCACTTGACTATGAAAACATGTTTGCTGGCTGTAACCAATACATGACCAAACCAAGAGGATGCACTTACTCATTTAAAAAATCTTTGACGGAAGATGGAGTGTGTTATACTTATAATGGTCTCAGCGATGAAGAAATTTTAAGAGGAGAAAAGTAGGCATTTTTGATTTTTCTTTTGAAGTTAAATAAATTATCATTTACAGCAAAGACCATATTGGTGGTCATATTAGGCATTGGCCGTGCTGTGTATTTCTTTATTACTTTAACAATATCAGTGTTTGTGCTGTATGTGTTACGCTCAATTACCAAAAATGCTCATTAAGCAAAAAAAAACACTAACAACGCGTTTGGGCACAGTAAAACATCCACATGGCAAAATTCGTCTTATAGCTCTAAAGAAAACACTCACGACGCATTATAGCAATTACAGAAAGACCATAGCGAAATTTGCGTCATGACTGACATGCTATTCGACCTTCAAAAAAAAACTTTTAAAAGGTAAAGCGTGAGTTTGATAGGTTGTAGGTAATATTTGGATCTACTGAACCAATTATGAAAATTCTTTAACCAATAAAATGCCAAGTTATTTGTGAGTTTCAAAGGCATATAACAACAAAAACTATAGTCTACACCGAAGCCAAGCGAGGGTGGTGCACTCGTTTCTAATAATACATTTAAGTGATTAATTAAGAAACAATGTTGTTGATTGAATACTAAAATATAAGATCTTTGACTTGGAAATTTTGAAAAAGAAATGTATTTAACTGAATTATTACAAAAAAGCGCTATGTCTTCTTATTTTATATCCAATATAAAATAAATAGACATAGCGTTTTTTGTAAATATTGCTGAAAATGATTGATTCACTGCAATCTTGATTTTAAGAGTTTGAGATGATTTAAAAAATTGTAACTTTGGCAACGAGTTCAATCGAAATTATTTAATTTTTAGCATTCAACAAGAATTCAAGTACACTCAAGCAAATCAAGCTACAAGAAACTGGACTATGGCGGATGGATACATCACTGATGACCCAAAAGCATACCCTGTCCGAGGACTGGTTAAGTAACATGATAACATTAGCCAAAACAGCATATAGGAAAAGTTCATCACGTTTTGTGGAAAATAAATCTTGCTATGTCATATGACTGTAGGAAACAACCAAAAAGGAAATAACCTGATGATCTTTAAAGAAAACACTCGTTAAAGAGCTATGGTGCTACAGACGGACACACGCACATAGACAATAACTTACACATAGCGGTAAAATTTAGATCACCACTCTTTTTACATCGAGTGATAAAAATCATGAATGCCCAGCAGAACAATGTTATGATATTTTATCATGAGATTCAAAATTGCTGTTTAGCAAAATATACCATTTGTATCATTTTTACTTGGTCGGTATTTTATATTATTGTACATAACACTTCGTTTGCAGAATTCAGCTGAAGATCGAAATATGGGGTTTAAACTTAATATAAGACATGATATCAAAAATGAAATCTGCCAAAAAGTCTACAGTACTTATAAGGTACTGTATAAGAATTTTATATTTTTCCCTATAATCTACTAAAGAATTTAGGCCTGCCTAAAATATTGTTTTTATAGCAGCTGCCAAAGCATATAGACGCATACAATATTAAAGCATCAATTGCGCCGTTGCCTACCCTGAACCCATCTGGAAGCTTTTTTCTAGATGTAGTTTTCCAGTCCTTAGTCGTAATTATTGGACTATTGTGGGTGTCTCGAGACATTCTCGATTACTCCAGCCAACCTAGGTAAGTCCTGAAGAAAAGCAGCCTCGAGAACCTGCTGCAGGCTTCCGGAAGCGATACTGGCGACTGGAGAAGTCGTGCCCGTTGGTCGGCCACACTATTGCATACCATGATGACATGCTGTGTCGTTTCTTCTGCCTCCATGCACCCTCTGCATATGGGGCTTTCTGTCACTTATTGTATATATGTATTTATTTAGGGGACAGTGGCCAGTCAGGATTCCTATAATCTATTATCCCTATTTAGTCTGGTAAGGGTGCGGGCAAATCTTTTGTTTTCCGCCGGAACTGCGTTCTTTGTTTTCAAACATCCTTCAACTGTTGTCCACTCTATCAAGTGTGTTTTCACCATACACTTTTGTATCTGCTTCTCTCTTAGCTAGTTTGTCTAAGACGTCGTTTCCAATTGAGTTGATGTGTCCTTTTATCTACTGCAGAGTTACCGTGTTGGTTACTACAATGGTTTGAAGTTCATTGAGGCAGTCTATTACCAGGACCGAGTTTATTGTGTTGCTGCGTAGGGCTTGAAGCCTGGATGTACTGCCAGAGATGATTTTAATGTTGAAGTTTCTGACGTCTCTGTCTGCAACCTGTGCCACTCTGGTAATGTCAATACATTCTACCTGGCAGATTGTATTTATTTTGTCTAAAGTTGTTGATATTTTTAGACTTAGGTCGTTCGAGAAGAAACCTTGTTGGTTTAGAAGCCATTTGTGTAGATCCTAACTTCCCCGGTCCAGACTAATCTAACATTTCCGCGGTAAGTTGGGTCTTCGTTGGTCGTATCTTCGATCAAAGACGCGTTGCTGCAATATTCTGTCCATGGGTGCCTCCAAGGGTAGGATCCCTGGACGTTTGTAGCCCTGGAAGCTAACACGGCTTCGGTTGGCTTTCTGTATGATAAAGATTACGTGAATTAAACCATCCGTCTGGGGTATTACTACCCCAGACGGGTGGTTCAACTCGCGTGGAAAATCTGGTGGTAACTACCTCTCCCGTTTGAGAAATTTACCTTCACCTAACAGACGCCGCAGTTAAACCACCTTTGCTAACTATGTATTGACTTTCTATTTTGAACTATTTGGTGCAATAAAGAGTATAACAATAAAAAACGCTACCTTTGGTGGTGTTGTGTTTCTGTCGGTGAACAAGGTTCTAAGGCTCTACAAGGTTAGGGGACTAGGTCAGTGTAGACAACGGTGTGAGTCATAGCTTTAGCGTCCATTGGCTATGGTGGCCGCTTAATTTCAGGCGCTTACTATACTATCTTGTTAGCCACCTTTTCATCATAAAAAATAATTAGTAAAATCATTTAATATTCAGATTTACTTGCATCACCCTGCTGATCTACCCCAGTCTTCATCTTACTATTTTGCTGCTCTCCCGGATCAATTGTCTTCAATGGCTCTACAGTTCACAATGGTTACGACGAGTAAAACATTAAAAAGCTATCCATTGGAAACGTAAGATACATTTTTTTATTAATTTCATAAATTCTGTATTATCCAATATATTCGTTTGAAATTGCTGCTGTCGCTGTTCTTCAGCTGCATTGTTCAGATCAATGTTGCCAGTATGATGAGAAGTATTGAATAATATAGAAATAACTAAATAACTATACGGCATCGCAATGAAATCTTCTTCTCCCAGGTTCACCCATTATTATTTTTTGCCTTTTATTTGCTGCCCTTATATAGCCTAAAATTGTTTATTTTTCTAACAAAAACTCATTTGTTTCAGCCGACAGTGCTATTTCCCCGAAGACAAGTGGTTGAAATATTTTCAATTATACACCTACAACAATTGCAAACTTGAATGTCTTCGTAATATAACTTACAAACTGTGTGGTTGCGTTGCGTATTACATGCCACGTAAGAAAACCAAATCCAGTACTAATATTTACATTAATCTGAACTATCACATTAATATTAGGGTCTTCATATTTTAGTAAAACTATTATAAAATAATATATAATTAATTAAATAAGTGATTTTAAAACCGCCAATGTGAAATCAGTATTATCGTTGTTGAAGCACGAAAAACATACAAAAATAGACGCATCAAAAAAGTTTAAGCAACACGCATCATTTACGAAACTGTATGTTTTATTAATTGATGTTTCATTTTTTCTTACATTGTTCCACAATCTCTCAAAGTCTACAAATTCGTTGTTCTCAAAAATATAATTAGCTTATTTTTTAAATTTAAACTTTCAATCATGTTAGTATAAATATATGTATATCAATCATAGATAAAGGATGTAAAGATAGACAGAGTACCCATCGCAAGTGTTCCAAAATTTCAATTGTGCATGTGTGCGTGTTTGATTGTGAGTGAGTGATTGTATCGTTATGTCAAGACATGCTTAAAACACAGGATACCATAACACAAAGTGAATTGTATAAGCACAACTGTTTTCTTAGTTTCACAAAATTTTGTAATAAAGTTTATTACAGTACGGCTTGACAGGACGCTGTTGACTTTTACTGAAAATATATTATTGGACCAAAGGTACATCATGTTGCGTCTCTTTCTACCTTGTATGATTGCCGTAAGGGCATGATATCTCTTTTCCTCATTCTGTCAGTCTTTAAATACTAAGTCTATGATTGCAATAAAAAAATCATTCAAAAGTTCAAAAACATACACTTGTTACTTAGACTTTTAAACAAAGTTTTATTTTTCTTTCTTAGGTTTTCACGCACATCACTCATTAAATAAAACTAGTTTAAACGGGATAATGCACGAAACTTTATTTATTTATTGACGTTTCGTAGCCTTTACACGTCAATAACGTCAATAAATAAATAAAGTTTCGTGCATTATCCCGTTTAAACTAGTTTTATTTATTTTATTTTTCTGATAAATGTAGACTATAAATGTCCTTTTCTATATCCCCTTAATCTTTATTAGACTTGCAACGAATACTATATTCGGCAGTATACCGAATATTCGGCGAGGCCCCTGACCGAATAGCCGAATATTAGGCAAAAGTATTCAGCTGTATTTTAGCGCCAAAAACTTGTACAGACGTGATTGTTTGCGCTCCTTTGTTTTGTTCTAATCTGCCATCCTCAAGCTAAAATGCGGCTAAATGACAAAACCAACTTTTGAGATATGGCCAAAACGGCGCGTAAACTTTAAATTATTGCTATTAAGTAACCATTCATCACATGACTGAATGAATTAAAAACTACTTGTTTAATACAGAAAATGATTAAATTATGTACCTGTTTTATGGACTACTTAATAAATGATTATAAAAGAAATGAGAACCTTACCCTTCTAAATTTTGATTACCACAATAATTCAAATACATAGAATCCTCCATTTTTCCGATTCAGAAGATGATTATGTACCTGTGTTATGTCCAATGACTACTTAAATGATTATATAACAGAAATGAAAATATTAATATATACGTAATCAATCGATTTTAATTTTTCATTTTACCAATTATTTGTCTATGACAAAATATATTATTTAAGTATTCGGTATTCGGCTGAATAATATGTAGATATTCGGTATTCGGCCGAATATAATAAAAGCAGCCGTATATGCCGAATACCGAATAGTAACCGAATATTCGTTGCAAGTCTAATCTTTATACTAAAATTCATTAAGATTAATTAACCGTGAAAACGAAACTGACAGCTTAACTTTTGCTGAAGTAATGCGACGCAAAAAAATATATTATTATAGATACATGATAAAAGCTTTCTTGATAACATCAAGATGAAGTGTTAGTATGTTTGTGTGTAGGGTAATGTGTTTATTAAATCATGTTAAAATTTCAGATAGTGATAGTAATGAAATCTGTGCAGCCCGTGCGGCTGCATGTATTCATTTCGGTAAAAGTAAGTACATAAATCAGAAAGTTTAGTGTTTGATCATTGCCTATTATATTTATTATCTACAACCTAGAAGCAAGTTCTCTATGAATTTCTTCTAGTATTTCTAAGGCTGCAAGGCAGCGCCATCTCTTCGCATTGTAGGTAACCAACGGGTGCAAGTTCCCGGGTGTACTCCGTAATATATACCAGTATACTGGCCAGTGCTAATGAAGTCATGAATCGACGCAATACTGGTGAATTGTTCCGAAATATACTGGCCAGTGCGCTAACGTCATAAATCGGCGAAATATTAAAATTAGTGCGAATAAAGAAGATTTTTTATACACATCATCAATTAAAAGGCATTCTTTTTGTTCGGATGCCATTATTGTTTTTTAAATAAAAAAGAAATAAAATTTTAATGCATCTCACGCACGCTCGGTCATACGTCATATTCGTTTTCCCGGTAAAAATATGGTAGCATCCCAGTACAATATGGCGTCGGATTCGTGACGTCATTACCACTGGCCAGTATACTGATGTATATTTCGGAATACAGCCCCCGTCTGCTATCCGGACCGCGTAGAATTTGTTCTAATAAAATTTTCTTTATATTCAAACATCGAGCAGTTAAATGCTTTAAACAATTATTATCATTAACCATTAGATTCCAAACCATTGTCTCTATTTTATTAAAAAAATCATCAGGTCTATCACTGATCCTTTTTGGTATTCTTACGAACTTGTATTTTTATAAAGCTTTAGTGCTAAGGAAATGGAAAGAATGCAACTGCCTGCCGGCATGTAACTCTGTCCAGTATAATGCAGACATTCACAAGGATTATTATGACGCAGCCAAAGGTAGAAGATTAAGAAACAAGCAGAAGAACAAAGGGATTATGTGAGTAAGAGGTTAATTTTAATTTATTCATTAATTGTAGATAAATAATGACTCAAAGAGAAATGAGGAGCTCGATGGCGCAAGTGGTTAGCGCGTTCCGCTGCGATCGTTGAATTTAAGCAACTTTCGCATTGGTCAGTCATTGGATGGGTGACCGAAAAATTTACTATCTCGAGCTCCTCCGTGCTTCGGATGGCATGTTAAGCCGTTGGTCCCGGCTGCATCTGCAGTCGTTAGCACCCACCAACCCGCACTGGGCCCTCGTAGTGGGTCATGGCCTAATCCCTCTATTCCATTAATAGGGAAGGCCTGTACCCCAGCAGTGGGGACATTAATAGGCTGATGATGATGATGAATGACTCAAAACATAAACACACATTCACATAATTTACATAATTGTGAAAAACGCTAAACAAATAATCCCTTTCCTGATTGATAAAAGTTGTTACAGAGAGCGCTGTGCTTTCTCTGTTTGAAGTGAAACTTCTTTACGCACGCTTGATTTGGGGGGTAAGCTGGCGAATGCGTTACGCGTTATGAAAAGTGTGTTCGGGCGAGGCGAACGGGAGTTAAGTGAGGGATATAAACAAGAGAAAGCAGTGCGCGCGCACATTTTATTTCTCTCTTTCTCTTATAGCTAGTAAATGAAATATGATTGTTTGCAACATATAACTTATATGTGTAGTGTATATCATAAATATTATTCTATTATTATTATTTTATATTCATATCAGTATTTATATGCATAGTTTATTCTCTTTTAATTATGTATGTATATGTAGGTATTAATGTTTTGTATGGTATTTTACATAATATATGTATTGATATTTTTTTATCTTATTTTGTTTTTTAATTTGCTTGCACATTACTCCTCTATCTCTCTTAAACTATCCTTTGACTTAAAGGTTGTCTGGAAGAGATCGATAAGACCGCCTTTACCCACCATAGTTTACTATCTGTTTGTAAGCCCTTGTAACAATTTTTGTTATCACCGGCTATTTCAGGGCTTACATGAGACTCGAAACTTATTTAATTTATAATCAGGGCGCCGTAATACTGTGATTTGAGGGAGATAAATGAAAATGTCTAAAACCGCAGTGAACAAGATATTATATTGTCAAAAAAAAGATTCAGATCTTATTTCATCATGGTTAAAACTTAATACTAGTCACATTCAACTTAATAAATACATAGCTATATTTCCTCAAAGATTTTTCTTTTGATTTAAAGATATTCATACATTCAAGATCATGTGCTAATACAGTAATACTCAATTTAAGTTTCTTATATAAACAAATTATTAAACAAGTTATAAAATATTAAGTTTTGGAAATTTAACAATAAAAATTTGTTATGTTCTTATAATGGCTTTACAGTTCACCAATACAAATCCTTTATCACGTTAAACAGAAATTGTTCTCCGGAGTATGCACTGGTTAAATATCAAGAAGTTATAAGTTTTACTTAGCTTGGCAAGATCATGGGAGCATCAGGATGACTCAAATGTCCTCAGGGATGAAGCAGGACTTGCTGTCATCACGTGAACCCGTCACTTTTTACTCAAGAAAGCTTCACAGGCTCATATATATATATATTTCCAAGGAGATTCCAATCAGGATCAAGTAATTGTGATTATTACTGTTATTAATTAGCCAAATTAATGGACCTAGAACCAATTACACATTTTTCTATAATTCAATAAAAAAACTAACTGGACCTACAGCCTAACGAATCAAATGTATTGAACTTACCCGTTAATCCGGGGAGAAATATCAAGTAAATAATGCACTGACTACCACTGCTAGTCTTAATGCTATTTTCTAAGTATGGTCTTCAAGGTTCTATCAGCCAAAAGAGACCGAATTTGGTTGTGCACTGCTATTTATAGGCTACTACAACACGTGACAGCGTCATTGCAAATTTCTCTCATATCACCATATTTGGTGCGAGGAATCAAACGGACTGGTTTTGCTGACTCCGCCTCTCACTGTTTCCAGAACATTAATGTGACGTCACATCCAATTTTGCATCTCATTTAAAAAAATTACACACTAGCTCCATCTAACTTACATTCCAAATGCAACTACTAGGTTCACACATATATTGTACTTGTCCGTTGCTTTTCAAAGTGGACTACGATATTGAATAATTTATATGCATGATGATAGATGGCGCTGAATAAATAATAATATTTCTACGACTTAATATTTAAGAATTATATTGCTATGTTTTAACGTTATTAAATTTAATTGCTACACAACATCCCCCTTATCTCAAAAAATTTTTTCCCAAAAAAATTTTTTTTTTTAATTAATTAACCTGCAACTGACTTACAGACAAATCAACAATACTAAGTATTAGCCAAGATAAAAAAAATTTAAACTTATATACGTGAGTATCCATTTTTTTTTTTTTTTTTTTTACTCCACGTAATGTTCTAAACTCTAAGTCAATAGCAACAATTAAATATTTGCTGTTTAATGATTTTTCTTTTAGTTTCATGTAAATACCTTTCTTGGATCTATTATCCAGGGGTATAACATGACTTTTCTGTTCATCTTATGAACTTAAGGTAGTTAAGAAAACAACTCAAGATTAAAGAAGTTTGTATGTTTTCAAACTCAAAAGATTAAGATTATTTTCCAACAATCTTCCTATCTTTAATTATCAAGTCTAAAGTATATGTCCACTTCCTTATGCTTATGCCTTTCTTACATCAAGACCTATTTTTCTATTAAGTATTAAAATAAATTGCACGTGCTTATTTTGGAAAACACTTTTCATACATCACGCATTTCATACTACTCTCATACTCATATGCATATCAGTAAACACAACTTGACGAAAATAATTTTATCAAAAAAATTTTTTTTTTTGTGTTAAAATATTAAAATTCCTCGAAATTTCATTTAAGCATTTTTTTTTTTTAAAAGTGACCATATAGGTTAAAAAAGGTTGTAAATAAATATTTATTTAGTTAAAAGAGAAAAACAATTTAATTTTCAGGCAGGTTTCGAACCGTAGCCCACAGATTTCCATATGCACTCTTCCTATACCATAACTCTTCTTAACCAACCGTTTAATACTGAAAGTGACTAAAATAAGCATCCTATGTGGAATTCAAAGATTTGTTAGTTCTGTTGTTCAGAATATTTTAGTATATCTTTAATATGATAATTACCTAAACATTTACCATTTAAATCGGTTAAAGTATAAACTAAAGGTGATAATTTAGCCGTCACTACACATTTAATAAATTTTGGTGCTAATTTGGAAGAAAAATTCTTTGCCTTATTGGATAAATAATGAGTACGTTTATACACTATCTGGCCAACTCTTAATTCAATGTGTCTTTTTCTGAGGTTATATTGTTTTTCGTTCCGTTGGTGGGCAACAATCAAATATTTCCTCACCTTTTGGAAGATATTATTAAGTTCAAGCAACTTTTTCCCATACTCCAATGTACTGTCTGAGGTAATTTGATCTAACGGACATGGAGGGAAGGAATTTAAATATAAATTACCATCTATTATATACTCTCTACCATGGACTAGGAAATAGGGTGAAAATTTAGTTGCTTCATTCACAGCCGTGTTTAAAGCACATTGCAATTCTATTAAGTGTTCATCCCACCTTCTATGCTCGGATTTTACATAACAGGCTATCGCATGAACTATGTTTCTATTTGCCCGCTCAGCTTGGTTCGTTTGGGGATGATACTTAGGATTGTAATATATGTTTGGTACATTATATTTAGTTAACAGCTGTCTAAAATGGGAGCTAACATATTGTGGACCGTTATCTATAAAGATGGTCTTACAAACGCCATGGACTAAAAATACATATTTTTCTATAAAGTTTGCTACAGCCATGCCTGTTGCTGACCGTATAGGGTGCAACATGACATATTTACTAAAGTAATCTGAAACAACTATTAAATAAGTATTTCTATTCCTTGAATTTGGAAAGGGTCCCAAAAGATCACAACTAATGGCTTCGAATGGCTTGGTCACTTTCTTAGGACTACCCATGAGACCGGGACGTGCCGTGTTCACAGGTTTGTATTGCTTACACGTCTCACATTCACTCACATACTTTTTCACACATTCGTATAGGTGGGGCCAGTAATAATGTAAGGCGATCCTCCTATGTGTCTTCATGACACCTAAATGTGCACTAGTAGGGTCATCGTGATATTTCCTAAGAATTGCCGATCTATTTTCTTCAGGAACTACCAGTTTCCAATCAAATTCGCTAGTAAGATCATATTTATTTTTCGAATATCTATATAAGTTTCCATCTTTTTCCATGAAATTAGGAAATTTACGTGGGTTATTCTTTACTGCGTTTAACATATAAGAGTACCAACTATCTTTTGATAAATCTATTTCTATTGAATCTAATTTAATACGTGACAAAGTATCCGAGAGGATATGATCCCGACCCTTCCGGTGTTCTATTTTAAAGTTAAATTGACTAAGACGCATGCTCCATCGTGCTAAACGACCTGTGGGGTTTTTTAATTTATAAAACCACAACAGTGAAGCATGGTCTGTGACTATGGTACATTCCTGACCTTCAACATATTGTCTAAATTGTTCTAATGCATAAATAACAGCTAATAATTCTCTCTCTGTTGTACTATAATTAACTTCATTTTTATTAAGTGAGCGGCTACAGTAGGCAATAGGGTGTTCCACTCCGTCATAAGACTGGGTGAGAACGGCCGCCGCTGAGTATGCAGATGCGTCAGTCAAAATACGGAAAGGGCGCGAATAATCTGGCATTTTTAAAATAGGGGCAGAAACAAGGGCAGTTTTAAGCAAATTAAAGGATTTCTGTGCCTCAGAGTTCCATTCAAAATCCACATTCTTACGGGTGAGTTTACATAACGGTTTGCTGATTTCAGAGAAATTATTCACAAATCTTCTGTACCAACCTGCCATTCCAAGGAATCTTTTTACCTCCTTGGGGTTCGAGGGTGTAGGATAGTTAAGGAT